AAAAATAGAGTTGCCAGGTGATCCAACAATCCCACTCCTGGGCATACATCTGGAAAAAACTCTAATTCAAAAAGATATATGCACCCCTGGTACTTCTCTGGTGGTCCAGTGGCTAAGACTCAGCTCTCCCAATGTAGGGGGACTCGGTTCGATCCCTAGTCAGGGAACTAGATCCTGCATGCCACAACTAAAAGATCCCGCATGCCACAATGAAGACCCGGCACAGCCAAATAAATAAATAAATAAATGTTTTTTAAAAAAAGATACATGCACCCCAATGTTCATAGTAGCACTATTTACAACAGGCAAGACATGAAAGCAACCTAACTGTTCATCAACAGGTGAATGAATAAAGAAGAGGTAGTATGTATATACAATGGAATACTGCTCAGACATAAAAAAGAATGAAATAATGCCATTTGCAGCAATATAGATGGACCTCGAGATTATCATACTAAGTGACGTGTCAGAAAGAGAAAGACAAATAGCATATGATATCACTTATATAGGGAATGTAAAATATGATACAAATGAACTTATTTACAAAACAGAAACAGACTCACAGATACAGAAAACAAACTTATGGTTACCAAAGGGGAAAGAGGGTGGGGGAGGGATAAATTAGGAGTTTGGGATTAGCAGATACAAACTACTATATCTAAAATAGATAAACAACAAGGTCCTACTATATAGCACAGGGAACTATATTTAGTATGTTGTAATAAACCATAATGGAAAAGAATATGAAAAGAATATATATGTATAACTGAATCACTGTGCTGTACACCAGAAACTAACACAACACTGCAAATCAACTATACTTCAATTAAAAAATAAAATAAAGAAAAAAAACTACAATGGGATACCACCACGCACACTTTAAATTAAAACACTGACACTTGTTAACACCAGGTGAGCAAGAATATAGAACCACTGGAATTCTTATACCTTTTACTGATGAGAGTGTCAACTGGAAAATCCACTCTGGAAAATTGCTTGGTACCATCTATTAAAGCTGAGTGTATACCTCATGACCCGGCAATTTCTTTCCTAGGTATAAACCCAACAGGAATGTCTACATTCATGCACCAAAAGTAATGCATACATAATAGCAATGTATATTAAAGCCAAAAACTGGAAACAACTCAAATATCCATCAATAGTAGAGTGGATAAATAATTATGACCTATTCATCAATGAAAACAAATATGGTAAGACACATTGAGCAAAAGAAGCCAGGCTCAAGAGACTACATACTGTATGATCCCACTTACACAAAGTTCAAAAAGAGGGGAAAAAAACTAACTTATGTAATAACCAGGATAATGGTACTTGTGAGGTGAGGGAGTAGTAAGTGGCACAGGGGTTGCTTCTAGGGTTCTAGTAACGTTCTATTTCTTGATCTAGGTGGAGGTTACATTAGTGTATTCACAATGAAAATGTATTGAGTTGTTCATGATAATATATGCACTTTTTGTATATATGTCATTCTCAATAAACCACTAAAAAACCACACATATTGTATAAGCAATTGTGTGACTTAGAAGCAATGTCTACTGTAGGGGAGCAGAGGCTACACAAAGGTAGTAAATATGCTATAGGCAAAATATATAATCTAGACATCATAAACAATTCTTAGCTAATTCCTAGGTAATTGTAATGTGAATATGCTAAAACTATTTAAATAAATACCAGATTTAATACTTAACCATTGTATAAGACCATGAGTGACCATATATAATGACTACGTGGACGTTTTCTGGATCTTGACAGTTTCACCTTTCCTTTCACCATTCCCCCCCCAATACTATCCATACCTATCTTCCACAAGCATATTCTTTAGGTAACCAAATACCCATTTTATTTATCACTTTGACTCTCTAAAGGCAGTAAAACAGAATAAAAGAGAATCCTATAATAAGGCTATATAAATTACACTATGTTTTTATTAGAAAAAAATTTCTAAATTACTCTCAAAATTCTTCTTCTTGAAAATAAGTCAATATATATATATAGATAAAAATATCCTCTACTTCCAATATTTTTCACTTTTTCAAATGCATTAAACTTATCATTTGCTCTTTACTAGTCCTTCACATTATACCACTAGACAAAGCCCTTAAAAAAAAAGAAAAAAAAAAGAATGAAAGCAGGAAAATTTTTAAATATGTTTCTAGTATCATACAGAATTGCTTGGATCGGAACTCATTCTCCTGATATTTCAACTCCACCACTGAGCTAAAATTCCTTCCAAGTTTTAGAGAACAGTGCTCTTACTGTCACCATCTCTGCTATCCATAGGATAAGCACTGGCATTCCCCAAATTCCAGAACCACTTGCCATTTCACTGCTTTCTTCCTACACTCTAGTGGCAGTAGTTCAGTTGGGCAGCTTGTCAAAAAGATTCAGAGTATAAAGCACTTGGTGATCTTTAACCAAATGTATTTGTTGTGTATACAGCATATGCCATATATATGTATTTCACACATTATAACAGAACATAGTGAAGGACACACTGCATAATCCTAGAATCCAAAGACTTCTCATTGAGAACTTTTCCTTAAAATAATTTACTTTTATTGAGCTAAAAGTGTTGATTACTTTTTTTAAAACAAGCAAATACCATTTCTTGACAATTATTACAATTATTGTTCCCTTCTAAGAGAGACCAGCGGCTTACAAATTTATTGCCACGTGACTTGTGGAAACTATATTGTCAAATAGATCACAATTTCTGAGAGAAGCAGTACCAAATAGGGTTCATATTACTTCCAAAGACTTAGCAAAGGAACCATGAGAGATAATTTTTCATAAAAGCAAAGATAAAACTATTATAAATGTTTATAATATAAAATGATAAAATGATGCTTAGATTCTTTTTTTACTTAATAAACATTTATCAGTTGACTGTTATATGTCAGGCATTGCTAATCAAATAGACTTGGTGTTTGCCACCTTGAAGAAACTGAGTCTAGGGACTTCCCTGGCGGTCCAGTGGTTAAGACTCTGTGCTTCCACTGCAGGGGCCATGGGTTCAATCCCTATTCGGGGAACAAAGATCCCACATGCCACGTGGTGTGGCCAAAAAAAAATGCAAGAAATTAAGTCTACATTTATTGAACAAATAATCAATGTCTGGTGTGTGGGGTGGTAAGTGCTATGAAAGAGAGATGCCTAGTCTGTCAGGACATAGAAGAAGGGCATCTATATCAGCATCAAGGTGTCAGTAAACACTTCCTGTGAAAGATGACCTGGGCTGAGTTTTGCTACGTAAGAATTGTCTGAGTGAAAAGGGCAATCCAGGTGAAGGGAATCGCTGGTAACAGGCACAGAAGCATAAAGCAACATGTACCATTCAAGATGCTATGAGTCCTTACTTGGAAGAAAGTTTGAGAGGGGAACAGAATCAGGAAATGAGAAGGGAGAGAATAGTAGAAGCCAAATCATGGAATGTTGTGGTTTAAAAGTTTGAACTTTATCCATAAAGACAGTCCCCTAATCCTTCAAAGGTTACTAAAATGATTTTAATCAGGGAAGTAAAATGAGTATATTTTCATTTTTAAAAAACATGTTTGGCTTTGGTATAGGACAAGGCTAAGGCAGTAATCCAGAATTCAGAAGGCAACATTAGGAATGGAGATGAGAGAACAGATCTGAGAAACAAAAGGAGATAGAATTTGTTGAACTTGGAGGCTAATTGGAAAAGAGGGTAGAATAAAAACGAAGAGCCTAACTGACTTGGTAACTATGTGGATGATGATACCAAAGCAGAGAAGACAGGAGAAAGAGTGGGTCTGAGGTGGTAGGGAGCAGGGAGGAATGATGAATTTATTTCAAAATATCTTAGGCATTATGTTTTCTATATATTGTCCAAAGAATCCCTTTAATATATAAATCATATATAACTATAGCAAAAAACTCCCCTGTATTTGACTTAAAGTTTATTGTGGCTAGTATATTCATTTTAATTAGTTAATTAGCAAAAATTTCCTGATTTTCTTAAAGTTATGTTTGGGATGGGGAGAGGAAAATTTTGAACACCCCGCAGTCTCTTTTACAAAGCTGAACAGGAAAATTTGCTTCCTTATCCTCTCAAAATAGTTCCTAGCAGCAAGCTGATGTATAAAATCATTCCATTACCTAAAGAATATTGTGCAGTTCTTTATAAAAGAGCCTTCAAATGAGATATTCATTATAATAAAACTGTTCAAGATATCAAAAGGTGAAATATACACTTTTATTATGTAATATTTTTGTGTGTGTGGTTTTTTTTTTTTTGGAGTATAGTTGATTTACAATGTTGTGTTAGTTTCAGGTGAACAGCAAAGTGATTCAGTTATACATATGCATATATTCATTCTTTTTTAGATTCTTTTCTTATATAGGTTATCACAGAATATTGAGTAGAGTTCCCTATGCTATATAGTAGGTCTTTGTTGGTTATCTATCTTATACATAGTAGTGTGTGTATGTTCATCCCAAGCTCCTGATTTATCCCTCCCCACTGCATTTCCCCTTATTATGTAATGTTAACATAGCAGCAACATGAGTTATATATAGTTTATGCAAAACAATTTTTATGTTTAGGAAATCTAAACCTTCAGAATAATGAAAAATAAAAAATGTACCTCTGAGGTGGCCAGGTCTGAAACTTCCATCTCCAACTGTTTACAAGGAACTTTATAATTTGTTTATGTATGGGAAAATATGTCTTCAGCCTCATTAGTCACTTCTCATTTTATGACAAAAATTGTACATTTCTCTTTGTTTATTATGGATAAACTATGGCATGAGGGGAACTGAACACCTAAAGGAAGAACCAGGAGGGGGGTCTGAGTCTTGGAGCTCCCTAAAGAGCCACTCTGCCTCCAACAGCTAGCTCCTCAGAGCTCTACAAAAGACTAACTAAACTCAAGTCAACTAGAACACAACACTCAAATCTAATTCGGTAACTAACATCAGGAGTGGTTTGCTCCTGAGCAGAGGACCAGAGTACTCACTTTCTTTGCGAACTTCCTCAAGTGCCCCAGTAAGCTCTTCCTTTAAAACTGTGGCTTCTTGAGCAATCTTCTCTCCCTTGTCTAATAAATTCCAAGTTGCTTCCTCCACAGAAGCTAGAAGGACTCTGGCTCTTTTTGAACGTCCTTTTTTCCTGTTGGAAGGATTCTGGGGACAATTTACAAGTGTAGTAACCTAAAATTGGAAAAATACAAGTCACTCATTAGACAAATTGCCAGAGGAACACAGCCCTGGGATATCATAGCCCAGAACAAAAGGAAGTATTTCGTAATAACATATTCCCAACACTACTGGTACATTCCCAAAAGTCAGGTCAAGGCACCAAGAGCAGTATTACCAGCCACAGAGTTCCTAACTAAAGACAGGAAGGAAGGGAGCGGGGAGAGGAGTGAGGAGGGGAGGGAGGAAGGAGGGATAGAGATTGAATCTCACCAAGTTTTACTATTGGACCGATGCAAAATACACAATACCCAATATATATTATTTGATATATATATAGCAAATGATTATTTATATCACTTTGTAGCCAGCAATCTATATTAAGAGGGAGGCAAAAATAATTATAATTAAGTCAATAAGTATTAATATATGTAGGTTAAGAATAGAGATTACTTGAGGTGGATAGACCTAGAGTCTGTCATACAGAGTGAAGTAAGTCAGAAAGAGAGAGAGAAATACCGTATGCTAACACATATATGTAGAATTTAAGAAAAAACAATGTCATGAAGAGCCTAGGGGTAAGACAGGAATAAAGACACAGACCTACTAGAGAATGGACTTGAGGATATGGGGAGGGGGAAGGGTAAGCTGTGACAAAGCAAGAGAGAGGCATGGACATATATACACTACCAAACGTAATGTAGATAGCTAGTGGGAAGCAGCCGCATAGCACAGGGAGATCAGCTCGGTGCTTTGTAACCGCCTGGAGGGGTGGGTTAGGGAGGGTGGGAGGGAGGGAGCCGCAAGAAGGAAGAGATACGGGAACATATGTATATGTATAACTGATTCACTTTGTTATAAAGCAGAAACTAACATACCATTGTAAAGCAATTATACTCCAATAAAGATGTTAAAAAAAAAGAATAGAGATTACTAATGTTGGGGCGGGGGGGTGCAGAACCACTCTGAAACGTGTAAAACAGTGGTTACTTCAGAAGGACAAAACCCAAATCCTTACTATGATCTATATTCTGGCCCTTTGTAAACTCTGTTACCTGTCTCCCACACTCCCCCCAAATCAGTTGGCCTCTCAAGCAGTCAGGTCTTCCTCAAAGTGCCCTATCAAGAGGCCTTCCCTAACCACCCCAATCCCCACCCTCTCCCACTCTGTCCCCTCACTACACGTTATAATTCTTCAGAACATTTATAGAGCCTGACATTTTTTATTTGTTCATATATGTTTATTGCATCCTTCTAATACTAAAATGTAAACTCCATGAAAACAGGAAATGTGGTTTGTTCTCCCTCACTCAGAACAATCACAAAGTAGTTGTTCAATAAATATTTCTTACATTAATGGCTTAATGAATGGGGTAGTTGAACAGAGGGACGTTTTGATGTCTATATTTTGAATTGCCTGAATATGTTAATAATGAGCATGTATTACTTCTGTAAATTTGTTTAAAATAAGAATAAACTCATGGGACTTCCCTGGTGGTACAGTCATTAAGAATCCGCCTGCCAATGCAGGGGACATGGGTTCAAGTCCTGGTCTGGGAAGATCCCACATGCCACGGAGCACCTAAGCCTGTGCGCCACAACTACTGAGCCTGCACTCTAGAGCCCACAGGCCAAAACTACTGAGTCTGCGTGCCACAATTACTGAAGCCCACATGCATAAAGCCCGTGCTCCACAACAAGAGAAGCCACTGCAATGAGAAGTCCGTGCACCACAACGAAGAGTAGCCCCCACTTGCCATGACTAGGGAAAGCCCACTCACAGCAATGAAGACCCAACATAGCCAAAAATAAATAAATAAATAAAATTTTATTTTAAAATAATAATAATAATAAACTCATGACAAGAGCATTGTTTGGAGATAGAAATTAAGCACTTATATTTGGAAACAAAACCTTATACAAAATTACATTGTGAAAAATATCCATTTCTTAATTAAACCTTGAATTCCAAGAAAAAAAATTTGTTTAACATTTTCATAAGCAAACCTGGAAGATCCCCATTGCAGAGGAAGAAAGAAAAAAAAACCTTTTATCCAGTATTTAAAATAGAAGACCTGAAACTCTTATTGAAAGCTTGGCTGGTGCATGTCATCAAATAGCCGAGGCTTTTAACAAATATGCACCACATCTTTGACAACAGACTATACATAATCCTTCCTGCTCTGCAGTCCCTGGAGCTTGTTTATTTTTTTTTTTTTTTTTTTTTT